GTGACATAGAAGATGCATTTCAGTCACCATTAAAAACTGCCTAAAGTCAATGAAATGCACTAATACAGAGGTTGGGGGTTTTACAGGTGCACGTAAAAAAGCCACAGTCTGTATGGAAAGGCAGGCACAGTATCAATATTCTGAAGGATTTTTAAATAGAAACTTTATGAGCCTTCTCTACATACCATTGCACTAGGACCAGCACTAAGAAAATCAGAACTATTAGCAGTCGTAGAAAGGATTGTCTGTAGCCTATACCTTGTACCTTCTTAGGATTCCCCATTCAAAGAGACTTTGATTCCTCATGTTTCTATTTCCTCCAATTAATATCTGAAGTCAGCCAGCAGGCTGTCAGGTTGAAAAACCAATTTGCAAAAATTAGATACCACTGTTTTCCAAATTACATTCTTATATTCCACTCAATCTTAATAGGCAATACATTAAAAAGGCTGGGGTGGTAATGAGAGAGAGCTTGTGCTCTAAAGCAGGGTCAGCAAACCCTGGCCTATGGACCAAACCTTGTCCACTGCCTGCTTTAGTAGAGATTATGAGCTATGTATAAAATTCATATGGCTGTGAGCTTTTCGATTTTAAAGGGTTGAGGGGAAATCGAAAGGAGAATAATATTTCATGACATATGACAATTATATTAAATTCAAATTTCAGTGTCAATAAACTAAGTTTAATTGGAACACAGCCATGTCACTGCTTACAAATATCATCCAAAGCTGCTTTCACGCTACAATGGCAAATTTGAGTAGTTCCAACAGAGAGCCAGGGTAATTGCAAAGCCACAAATATTTTCTTATCTGCTTCTTTACACAGGAAGTTTATTGAAGTCTTGTCAAAAGATTTGGAAATAGCTTATTAAGCAAAGTCACACCAACTATTTCCTTGCTGTTGAACTTCTCTCCATTTAAAGTGCTAATGTGGTTTTCTATCTCCAAATGAGGACTGTGGTTTGCAGCATTTTCCAGACTGACTTGACGGAGGAGCCCTTCCTTTTATGGAATGTTTCACGCCATACATTGAAGAAGACCATGTTGAGAACTGCCATTCTTAAGCACTGGCCAGCAAGGCAGCAACGGGAACATAACAGAAAGGAATGAAATTTCAGATTATCTGAATGAATTGGGTGGATGATCCAGGTAAAAAGAGGGTTTGAGTTCTAAATGTCTCTCAAATTTTACCCACAGGAAATATCGAGTTCTTTCTTAAAATATAGTAAGGACGGGAGGGCCACTGTGAAGAAAGAACCTTATCTATTAGCAAACCAATTCCACCATCTTTACATTGTAAAAAGGAATGGCAATGATAAACAAGCAGAAATGTCACAGAAAAAATTGGCTATGTCAGTTCAGCAGCATGTTTGGTAAGTGTTAATGTTAACTACACTAAGGATCAGCTTTCTATCGCTCTAATTCCTAAGCCCTTGGGAAGTCAGTAAATGTTATAATAACAACTACCATCGTCATTTCTCTTGGAATTTTCAAAGACGATTAGGCTCTTGCTCTTTCTGAAAGAATAACAAAAGAAGAGTAACAGATTCTTCTTTTGTGAAGTAATAGTGACCTCTAGTGGCTGGAGCATCATAGTGCTTTATATTTTCTCAACCTCTCCTGAAAAAAAGATTACAGAAAGGATTTGCACACTTCTCCAGATTTTAAATGTTAATCCATTTATTTACCAAATATGTATAGAGCTCTGAGCAATAGAAGGGGATAATAGAAAGAACACTGGTCAAAGGTTCAGAACATCTGAGCCACAGAGCAAATGCAATTAACCTAAAAGCTGTTTGACCCTGGACAAGATGTTCTTCAACTTACCTGAGCCTTGATCTTTTCACAACAGTATTTTTGAGCAACAGTGAAGCTATATGTAGAAGCCCTCTTTATACTGTAATGCGCATTGCAAGTAGGAGATGGTAATGTGTTGTGACTATGGAAACTTTTTAAGAGTTTTTTTAAACTTGTCAATAAAACCAATGTCTATGCAATCAATTCAGGAATAGGCAACAAAAGCAGTTCAGGCCCAAGAATAGGAGAAATAGCATGCCTTCTGAAAGCTAATATATGAAGTCAGCCCCAAATGGACTAGAGAAAAGAAACATAAAGTTCTTAGTCTAACATAAAAGCTGCCTTGGTCTATAGCAAATTCACTGAGACAAACACCATTTGTTGCCACTTCCTTCCCAATTAATTCCCCCTTACTGCCAGAGCCCTAGAGTTAGTTGTTCTGAGGTTCAACTTTCTATGTACTATGAATCAGTAGTGGCTAAGCCAATCATAATTCCACTCTCTTTCCCAGTGACTGAATTTAGACATGGTTATATGACTCAACCCAAGCCAATGGGATCTGAATTCTTAGAGGCAGCAGTTTGAATGGCCATGCTAGAAACAATTTTTCTTGCTATTTAAAAAAGGTGTTTAACGATTTATGTGACACACCTCCACATTTGAAGGGGTATGTTGTTTTTGCATGTGATGCCGGAAACTTCTGCAGCTGTCTATGACCATGAGAGGGCACGCTGATGATACCTTGAAGGTGGAAGAGGAAAGAGATGGGAAGCACCCGAGTGCCCGAGGACAGTATTGCTCTGTGGATTCAGCCAACACCAGAACCGTCAACCCCTATACTTCTTATTACATGAGATCCTAAGTCCATTGGTTTTCAAGCAATTTTTAGTCAGAAATTCTGTTACTTGCAGCTGAAAGCATCCTTAAATATTCAACACAAGGGATTGCCACTCTCTCCAGCCTCGAGGCTTAGAGACCTTGCTGGACCTTGATAGGTTCTCTTTTTTTAATCATCTACAGTATATGCTCAAATATTTTTAACTAAATAGAATGCATGCTGTAATCTTCATATCTGTGGAACAATAGTTTAGACAAAAGAGGTATCTTTATGTCAAAGAAGTAATGGTAAAATATCTGAGAGTGATGAAGGATGATATCGCCTAGCATTTATTTTAGTGAATAGGCACGCAGATCCTATCTCCTGTCACTCTGAGCTAGGTATGGAAGTAGTTATCTCTACCCTGTACCCTCTACTAACCTAACCTCTACTTCAAGGTTACTGATAAAACTAAATGAGATACTGCATCTGAAACATAGGTTGTCGTTGAATAATGGTTTCTCTCTGTTCCTTCAACTCTATCAATTTATATTCTTTCATCTTCCAAACATGACTGAGAACTCACCTTCCCATGGAAAGCTTTCTTTAAATTAAATTCAGCTGTTAATTTATGTCCTCTTTGCACTCAAGTCTATGGTCAGCATTTTTAGAACAGCTGCCCAAGTTTTTAGATCTGCTGCATGGGGGTATGTCCTTTCTCTCTACATACACACCAGGATTGCAAGGGGGTCAGCCACTGCATAGATTTTGGCTACCACTTGTTTGTGAATGTGTTCTCTGATTCTTCTCAACTCTTGACCAACCCCCCAGTATTTAGCTCACTAATCTAAACACAGCCATTAACGCAATAAAAGGTAAGAACCTCTTCCTCTTCCTAGTCTGGTCTCATCCCCTCTTCCAGTCTGGTCTCCTCTTCCGGTCTCCTCTCCTCTTCTCCTCCGCTCTGGTCTCCCCTTCCTCGTCTGGTCTATTCTCGTCTCTTCTTCTGGTCTCGTTTCGTCTTGTCTCCTCTTCCTCATCCAGTCTCATCTCCTCTTCTGGTCTGGTCTCATCTCGTCCCCTCTTCCTAGTCCGGTGTCATCTCTTCTTCCGGTCTGGTCTCTTCTTCCTCATCTGGTCAGCTCTGCTCTTCCTCATCCAGTCTTGTCTCCTCTTCCTCATCTGGTCTTCTCTGCTCTCATCTCCTCTTCCTCATCTACTACTTGATGACAGCACTACTAACTTGATAGCATTGTGCTACACAGACAAGCTTAGGAAGGACAGAATGACCTCTCTGTATCACTCAGGCCTATGACATTCCTGTGTAGCTTTATAAAAGCCAGTTCCTTTCCTCAGAGTGGGGAGGATTTGGCTACTTATGTGGGAAGAACATACGTTGGAATTTGGCAAAAGAACTGATAGCACTGTCAACGGGACACAGAGTCTTTTGGCTTTCTGTCAACCATTAAGGCAGAACTTCTCCTGTTGCATATTCTCGGGAATTCATGAAATGACTTATTTAATAGCAAAGACTTACTGAGTGCCTTTTATGTGCCTGGAACTACTGTAATTGCTTTTACATGTATGTAGTCATTTAATGATCATTTTACACATGGGGAAATTGAGGCACAGAGAGATGAAACTTGCCCTGAAACAAATAACTAATAAATGGCAAATCTGGAGTTCAAACTCAGCAAACTGACTACAGAGCCTGCTCTCTTAACCATACCTTACACCACAATGTGTGATCATTGCTGCACACCTCCCCTCATTAACTATTAATCTAGCCCTTAAGCATTCATAAGCACCTACCAGAAGGGGTCTCAAAGACAGGTTAGACATCATCCCTGCTCTACATGATCCCACAATCCAGTTGATAAACAAATAGAAAAATAGATAATGGAGACTCGGTATCCTCTGGATCAGCAGTCCCCAACCTTTTTGGAATCAGGGACCGTTTTCATGGAAGACAATTTTTCCACAGATTGGGGCCAGGATGGGGGGATGATTTCAGGATGATTCAAGTGCATTACATTTATTGTGCACTTTATTTCTATTATTATTACATTGTAATATATAATGAAATAATTATACAACTCACCATGGGTTGGGAACCCCTTCTCTGAACCAATTTTTTTTCAGCATCATAATCAGTCTTATTACATTTAGCAATCAACGGCATGAGTGCAAAAGAAAAAAAAAAATCTACATTAAAACCCTTCGCACTTTCCACAGAACAGAAACTAAAATAACCTGTTATACAATTAGTTACAAATATAGTCCTCGAGTTTTTGCCCATACACATGACTATTGTCTAAAACATGTCTTCTTTGTAGCAGCTAGGCCCTGCCACCACTGTGTTTAGCTGAGTTCACAAATCCGTTGAAACCTGTAACTTCTCTGGCTCTCTCTCCTGCTAAGCTTTGCTTCCTGGGAGTAATTAAAACCTTCTGCCACTGCCATAGCTACTGCTGCTACTGGAACCACCACAGCCACCTTGGTTTTGTGGTTTGGCAACGTATTGGCCTCTACCACCATAGGGACCAGAGCTTCTGCCTCCAAAATCTCCTCCCTTCATGGGTCCAAAATTTGAAGACTGATTGTTGTAATTGCCAAAATCACTGAAGCTTCCACCACCTCCAAAACTGCTCCCACTACCACCGCCAAAGTCACCTCTGCCTCCTCTATTGTTATACCTGTCATAGCTGCCACCCCCACCATTGCCACTGCCTGGGTTTTCATGACCCTGTCCACCACTTCCATAGTCTCTGTTTCCTCCAGAGAAACCAGGGCTGCCTCCTCCAAAACCACCATCACTACAAAATTCATTGTAGCTATCCCCACTGCCACCATATCCACCACCACTACGTCTGCCACCAAAGCCACCTTGACCACTGAAGTTTCCTCCACAGCCAGAGCTATCTCCATGACCACCACTAAAGTTTCCAGAACCACTTCGACCTCTCTGGCTGGATGAAGCACCAGTCATCTCTTGCTTCCACAGAGCTTTCCTAACTCACAGTTGTGGCCATTCACAGTACGGTATTTCTGAAAGACAATCGTATCCACAGAATCATGGTCATCAAAGGTTACAAAAGCAAAGCTCCTCTTCCTGCCACTGCCTCGGTCAGTCATGATTTCAATCACTTCAATTTTCCCACATTGTTTAAAATAGTCTCTTAGGTGCTGCTCTTCAGTATCTCCTTTAATGCCACCAACAAAGATCTTTCTCACAGGTAAGTGGGCACCTGGTCTTTGAGAATCTTCTCTGGAGGCAGCTCTCTTTGGTTCCACAACTCTTCCATCCACCTTGTGTGTCTCTGCATCCACTGCTGCGTCCACCTCCTCCACAGTGGCGTATGCGACAACCCAAAGCCCCTGGAACCCTTGGTGTTTGGGTCTGTCATCACCACACAGTCCGTGGGCGATCCCCATTGCTCAGAATGGCTCCTCAGACTCTCATCGGTCCTTTCAGAGCTCAACCCTCCCCTGAAGAGCTTCCCCAGCTGCTCGGGTTCTTTAGGAGACTCTGACTTAGGTGTGACGGCAGTGGGAAGAGAGACTTTAACGATGCTTTTTTGGCAGCATCCACGAGCAGAAAGGCGTAAGCTAACGAACGTATCTCCTGCTCTGGAACATTCTCAACCACTCGCTATCCTCTTTCTATTTGGAAAGCGAATGCTCATCTGAAGATTTTTACCATCATTTTTTTGCCGTGTGTATTTGTTTACAAGGGCTGCCATAAAGAATTACCATACACTAGGTGTCTTTAAAGAATAGAAATTATTAATAATTTTATTACAGTTCTGGGGGCTAGAAGTCTAAGATCAAGGTGTCAGCAGGATTGTTTTTTTCTGAGGCTTCTCTCCTTGGCTTGCAGATGGCCTTTGTCTCCCTGTGTCTTCACATGGTCTCCCTCTTACCTGTGTCCAAATGTCCTCTTTTTATAATACAAGGATATTGTTCATATTGGATTAGGACATACCCTGATGACCTCCTTTTAACTTAATTACCTCTTCAAAGATCCTTTCTTGAAATACAGTCACATTCTGAATCACTAGGGCTTAGGACTTCAATATGTGAATTTTGAGAGGACATGTCTCAGCCCTAATACTGTACCAATCTCCCTTCGCCACCAACTTCTCCAGAAAGTGCTTTAACACCTTTAATGACTATATATATTCCCAGCACTTGAAAGAATTAAAAACTTTTCTCAGCTTGAGACAGGGGAAGAAGAACAAAATTATGTATTTTGCAAGCAAAGTATATAATTAAGATGTTGTGAATGATTCCTAGGAATATGCTTTTGGTTATTCATAAACATTGCCTATAATTGTTTTCATGGGCTAACTTAATATTCTTCTCATTATAAGATGTTAGACATATGTGAAGCATGAAGTCAAGTTTATCTAACACAAAAATAGGTTGCACACCTCCATTTTTATCCTCCAGAGGTGGACACGGTTTATCTCAAACATCCTCTAGGCCATGAAAAATTAAGAGTTAAGGCCTAAGAATGAAGATAAAGTAAACAGAGAGGTTGAGAAGATCTCATTACATAATTCACAGTGAGAGCCATTATCCACTACAATGAAATTGAGGGCAATGCTTCCTATGAATAAATTTTATCTTTTTTCATGCAAATAAAATAAAATGAAAAAAATAAATGGACGGCACTTTGTGATTTGCAATGTATTAGAAAGTCATGTAACAAAATAACAGAGTCATGTCATAGGCCAAAATAATATTCCAATACTCCATATTCATTTTTTTCAACACTGGAATGTTTCTCCTAACACTATTTAGCTCAATTCATCTCAAAACTTGATAATTTTAAAAATGAATGCTCATGTTTTCTTTTGATATGATTGGACAAAAGTCCACAGTGTGGGTATTAAATCTACCCTCCAGGGACTTATGTCTGAATTTTGAAGTGAATTACATCGTGGCAATGTCTCACCCACTGATGAATCCCTGTGGCATAATATGACTCCCTAATAAAAGTTCACAGCTCAAACCTTCATATATTTCTAATGATTCACAGCAGAATTTCCCAAATTGCTTGAGAGGGATTAACACATCATGTGAAAGTCATTGTTAAAACTGAGTAAATGGCAATGTTATCACTGTTACTAAACTCCATATTTTCTTTGGACATCAATGAAAGGTTTGTAAAAGAACACGTGGCAGACCTACATCATAAATTTTTCCAAGAATTAAATATTTCCCAGCAATGGCTATCTGTTAAATGAATTAGAATAGCTTTTCCATCTGAATTAAATTTGAAGTTGGTATATTAAAGATATTGCCTGTGAACAATTTTATTTTACCATGGGAACACGTTTGCTTTCTTCAGGGAATTTTAAATTATTTGTAAATACAAGTGTTATAAAGATGAGGAACATCATTTCCTTGCTCATAAGCTCCAAAAAACCTGGCAAACAAGAAGCCACAGAATAATAATTTTTAAAAAATATCTCCCATAATGCCAGGAATTGTTCTAAAGTAAAATGTTAAATTAGATAATATTTAAGTTTCCTCCTAATTCTAACATACTTGCAATTTTCTGATTCTTCCAGATTACAATTGACCTAGCTAGAATAGTGCATTTCAAAGAATAAAAAGCAATAAATACATAAACCTCTTTTAAAGAAAAACACCCTCTTTCCACTCCAAAGATTAGAGCAAATTGAGAGATAGATAGGATTCAGACAGATGGAGGCAATATATTAGCTTTATTATGATAAAAGCTCTTTAGAGACTCTGACTATAGTTGTTATGGTAAGTAACCCTGGTTTGTCTAACTAATGCTAAAATCTCAGTGACTTAACTCAAGTTCATTTCTTGTTCACATGAAGTCCAATAAGGATGCTCTTGATTAGCAGGTGGCCTTCAACACGGTCATTCAATGGACCTTCTGTAATGTGGCTCCATCCTCCCTAGACCTTCAACACCTTCTTCTGGAGTCTCTATATCTGGTCAACAGACTGAAGGAGAGAAGGAGAGAGAGCATGAAAGATTACATGGGAGGTTTTGTGTCCAAGGTCTGGAAACAGTGTGTATAAGTTCAATTCATATTCCATTGCCTAGAACCCAGTCACACAGCCTAACCTAACTGTGAAGCAGGTTGGAAAAGTTGGGAAATTTAGTCTATCTCTATATACATGAGGTAGAGAAACTGGATTTTGGTGAAAACATATCTGTCTTGGCCAAAATAACTAGATCTTATCTAAGTGAGCTTGCTAATATTTCCACCCTAACTTAGGCAGAATTACCCCTGGAAAACAACGGATCATTCCAGAAGGGTAGTACCTGCCTCACTAAGCTTATAGAATAGCTGAAAAAGAGGATCAGAATGTACCCTTGCTATAGGCAGGCAGATTGCAAGGGGGTGGGGAGGGGTGGGAAGGGCTGATTGAACATGACTAATTATTTCTTCCAGTCTCATTAATCATAGGAAGGAGGAAGACAGAATCCAGAAATGCTACTCTAGGAAAGTCATCTCCTTGGAAATATGAGGAGTCCCAGGGTATAAGGGTTTAACCAATGATGTGTCACCATTCAATTTTTTCTTCAAAACCATATATTGGTTGGTGATGTCCCTAAAATATCTTCTCATGCCTTTCCTTAATTTTAGGATGCATTGTAATAATTGGTTTATTTAAATTACTAATAAAAATTAGACTGAATTCATCTTTGAGATCATCTAGCTATGTCTAGCTGTCTTTCTTTTGAAATACTATCTTGACAGCTTTGCCAGATACAGAGTGTGTATGTGTGCATCTGTGTGTGTATATATACACACATATATAATCTTTTGAAATTTTTTGTGGAATAAGATATAGGATGACTGCTTCCTTATATAGCCTGAGTGAGCAACATTAGTTTCAGATCATTAATAGTCTGTTACCCTGGACCTAGAATATAAACTAATTATGGCTTACTTAAAAAAAAAATAAAAGCAAACCTCAGGTAAGCATTTTATTGAATGTGTTAGACTTGTTAGGGAGAATTTATAACACATTTTAATTTTTCTCATTAACTGCCCCTGGACAATAGCTTTAGTAGGTTCTCATAGCTTTTCACTCTCTGATGATAACAAATTCTTATTTCCTTTTCTCTAGCCATAAAGAAATAGAGGGCTAGAAGATGGCTGCATTCCTCTTGATGGGGGGGGTGTCAGTGGACTGGGCTAAGGTGGTAACGGGGAGAAAGACAGAAGAGCAGATTTTAGACTTACTAGGAAGACTGAATTAACAGAACTGGCTGGTGGATTCATATTTAGAGGTGGGGCAGGGAGTGGTGAGGGAAAGGGAGGAACCGAGAAACATCCTAGCTGAGTACCTGAGTGGGCGTGGTGCCATTTGCTAGTCAACAAAGACGAGACTGGCATGAGATGTTCAGTGTTTGACATACTAACCTTGTGATGCCCATAATTCATCAACATGGATATGCGAATTAGGCAATTGGACAAGTGAGCCTAGGGCTCAGTGAAAATCAATTCAGGAATCATCAGTTTAAAGACCTAAAACGGGGATAGATCACCTTAATAGAATATAAAATGAAGAAAAGGGACCACACCAACCCTTAGGTGCAGATCTTGAAGGAACCCCAACATTTACACGTTAGGCCTAGGAGCCAAAATAGTACCAAGGAAACCATGAGAGGAGAGCGTGTCAAGCAGAAGGCCACGGTCAACCCAGCCCAGTGTTGCTGAGAGGTTGCAGAAGGTAAGAAAAGAAATGTTTCTACTGGATTTGGCAAAGTAGTGGTCACTGGTGACCAGAGAAGTTTCAGTGAGTGGTCCTGGAAGAAGCTAGAACATAGTGGGTGGAGGACAGAAGGCAGCGACAACTTCTATAACCGATGTTTTGAAAACTTCTGCTATTAAACGGGAGAAGAAATGTGGTAGTATCTGGGCAATCAGGAAAAGTTCTTTTCAGGAGATGCAAGAGCATGTCTGTGTGCTGATAGGAATGCTCCAGTTAAAAGGAAGTGCTTACTGTAAGAGGGGACAACTGTAAGAGCTAAGTTCTTAGGAAGGCAAGAAGGGGCAAGATTCTGAGCAAAAGCAGAAGACTTGGCCCTGAGAGTCTGGAAGGCCTCTTCCCCATTAGAACAACAGGGAAGAATACGTCAATGTAAACGTAGCTTCATTTTTGGATCAGGTGGTGGGAAGATGGGGAGTTTGATTCTGAAGGCTTCCTTTCCTAAATAAAATGTGTTGTGATGTCATGGGCTAAGAGTAGGAAACTAAAGAGTGTGGGAAAGGCATGGCAAGAGGGAAGGTGTGAAATATCCGAAGGGGAGTGGGAAAGTGAACCTGATGGAAAAACTCAGTAGGATTTCCTGGCGATGCCAATGTGAAGTCTACTTCATAAATTTTAAAGTAAAATTGATCATCTCAGTAGCGCCATCTTTGATAATATAAAAATAATAATAATGGATGTGAGGGGGAACTGTCCTTAACTTTTGTCACCCCAATGCTCTCCATGATGGAACTGCATGGCCTGACTGGCCACACTTGTGTCACCTTTCTTGCAGTTTCATTCTCAATCCATCCAAAGAGAAAA